AGAAAAACATCGCTCCCATGCTCTTTAAAAGGTGTGAGCTTTTATCACTGCCCTCTGAGATAAATGGCTCTTGCGATTCTTGTACTTGTTCAGAATGTTAGCTCTAGAATACATAAACACACTGAAAGGAATGGTTTGGCGAAAAATAAAATGCACACAATTTTCACGTTATGCCAAATACCTGAATGGTTTAGAAATTGACATTCAGTTTTTTGAAAAAGTACATAATGTGTGTGAAGATAATTATGAAGTTATTTGGATGATTCCACCATTGGGGTGCCTTTTAGCCCTTGTGACTCTTACAAATGAATCTTTTTTTTTACATTTATTAAAAAAAAACATGCATTTAACAAATTATAAAATAGTGTAAACCATTTCTGGAACTGTGTCTAATTTTTTTTACTAGGTTTCTTTGCTGACAGTTGCTTACATGAGTAACAGGGTTGAAAACAATAGGGTTACATTTTGGCATTCGGCAGAGGCCATTATCCAGTCTCAGATTACAGTATATTCATATTGCAGAGGAAGGCGAATGTAACGTTAAGAGTCTTGCCCAAGGGTTACTTTTGGTACAATCTAGTGTGCTTGCTTGGCTGGGCAATTCATTTCAGTCTATAATTTGAGTAATGAGGTAGACTTTAAAGTGATCATGTCAGTCAATATCACAATATCAGTGAAAGAATGGGAGAACATACATAAATCAAATGTAGTTATAGTGGGCTGGAACAGCCAAAAATGCTGATTTCTAAGCGTTGTAGGATTTATTATTATTATTATTATTATTATTATTATTATTATTATTATTATTATGTTTTAAGTTATTTATCTGAAACATGCACATATGTTGTGTTTACCAATGTTCAAAATGTCATTTACTGTACTTTTTTACTTTGTATATATAATATCATATAATTGTAAATGTAATATCAGTGGGACAAAGTCACTTAGTAAATTTAACTCAGAACCATTAGCCAACTGTGTTTGCACACAGAGGAATTAGACCTCCGCATTTAACCCATCCATGCAGTGAAGCACCCACAAACATGCACACTAGTGAACACACACACACACTAGGGGGCAGTGAGCACACTTGCCCGGAGCGGTGGGCAGCCCTATCCAGTTGGAAGTTAGGTACCCTGCTCAAGGGCACTTCAGTCAAACGTGACCTGACTAATCAGTCCAGGGAGAAAATTCAGATTTCTTTTTTGGAAATCCACATTACTGATTTAATTTAACTGTCGGCTGTGGGGACCAAACCGGCGACCTTCCGGTCACAAGGCTGGTTCCCTAACCTCCAGCCCACGACTGCCCTTTAAAGAGTGGCTTTAAAGAGTCATAGTAAAAGCCCCCATTCTGAATGGTGGATAAGAGAACTGAATTAAATCAGTAATGTGGATTTCCAAAAAAAGAAATCTGAATTTTCTCCCTGGACTAAATGTAGCTGATCAGCCAAGTCATGTTTGATGTCTCACGTTGGCTTCTTTAGTAGCAGTACAGCCACAAGGCTAGTGTAGCTATTAAGTAATAGAAGCTTGTGTACACTGATTAGCATTGTACAAACTGCCTGTCTAAATCATCACACATCTGTGTTAAACTGTGTCATTGTTGAGTAATCTCAAATAGACTTGCTTATGTGGTTTCTGACACTGTATGACATATGTTGTCAACAAAAATGGACAAAAGCACTGTAAAAAAATAAAATAAAATATGTAATAAATTCAATAATTCATAATTCAAGATGGCTACCACTTCTGTTTTTAGCCGTTTTAGCTTGTGTTTTTAGCTATGCTAAAACAGTGGTACTTCTGTCTGTTTCACAGAGAACAGCATGCAGTGTCAGAAACCACATAAGCAAGACTGTTTCAGATTTTACTTGTAAGATAGATTAGCATTGTAGCTCTAGTCTAAAACTAAAGAAGCAAACTTCAGACACTAAACATGACTTGGCTGAGGTTTGAGGGGGAAAATGGGTATAGATTTGATTTGTCTTGCTGAACTATTTCTTCTAGCCCATGCACATGCATATGCAGTAACCCGTGCTCATACATGCATATGCACACACCCAAACGCACCACATAAAGGGACGTTTTCTGACACCCTACTGAGCAGAAGCCAAAGAAAACTTCCTCCTGCTAAGAAATCCTTGGCGGGTCAAGTGGTTTAATAATGGATGTCCTAAAAACCAACTCACAAGACCGAAGGGATACTTTCTGAATGACTAATTGACTAATTATCATTTATAATGATCTTTGGAAGCACTTTAATGCATTATTCTTCACACCTGGGTGGGGGTGGAAAGAGTACTGAAAATTCCTGCTGAAATGCCTGATATTTAATTAAATAAGACTAGGTCAGCTTCTATTGCAGTGAAAATTCAATTGAATACAAGCAAAGTTTTTAATAGAGAAAATTATTTCTGGAGAAAGTTATTTACTCAAGTAGGAACTGAAAAACTCCCCCACTGATAACTTTTTAGTTGCTTTTATGCCTGTGCAATCTAAAACTACTCAAGAGTTCATCAAGTAGAATACTTGTTTAGAAGTAAGTTAAGATAAAAGTATTGTGATTTTATAATTTGTAATTGATATGATTTTAATTTAACTCAAGTACTGTAATGAGAGGGGCTGTAATTTGTTATGTTTCACCTCTGTACCTGGACATAGGGAAATAAGGCCCAATCAATATGTTTGTTGGCTGATAATATTGGTTGATGTTGATGAAATGGTACTAATTGATCGGTCCCACTAATAATGTGCATACAGATATTGATTGCATACTAACTTGACACTGAAAATGACCATGATAATGATAATGAAGTCCCAATCAGCAGCCTAATGCAGCAATAGATCTTCCAAACAACAACAGAGTTTAGCTTAAATCTTATAATTATATGCTCTGTAAGAGAACCAGACTGTTATTTAGTGAATTGTTTTATATTTTACAACTAAGAATTTGATGGTTTCCAATATGCTGGAATTCCCTAGCTTACAGGACAATTCCACCAATCTTTCAAAATTCTGCATAATTAAAATGGTTAAGATGTAAACAGTCATTCAGAGTGGTTTGATGTGAAATGCTCAGTTCTAGAGAAACTTACTGAGTCAGAATTGTTCACAGTGGTGGTAACAGGAACCAGACATCTGAAGATTTTGATACACCTAAAAGCTCCTTCACAAAAAGTTATTACATGAAATTGTTATGGATACACTGCCTGATGTATGAGACATTGTTTTACTGTAATGTTGAGATGGTCTTGGCTTAACATATTGTCTAAAATCCACTGATGGCAGAGAGGCACATGCAGAAAGCAGCCCAAAAGCAAACCAGTTTTAGCAAAACAATATTTTAACAAAAAACACAGGAGATGCATGTAGGTTCAGTGGTCATTTTGACTATATTTGTGTTGTAGACATCATAGCCCCTGGTTCCTATCACCACCACTGTGAAGGAGCTGGTAGGTTTCTCTAAAGTGAACCATTTCACATCAACCCATTCGGTATGCCTATGTTTACATCTCAACCACTGAATTAAGAAATTTTGAAAAAATGATGGAATTCCCCTTTCAAGTCATTCTTCTTTAACTACATTACAGCAGTACCAGCTGAACTTGTAAATTTGAATACAAAACACCATCATGGTTAAAATAAACATGTAAAAAGCATCCAAACCTAACCATAAGTATGTGGACAATCTTTCTATGAAGAGAACTGATGAAAAATAATGAGAAAAAAGAGCTAATGTACATAAATCACCAAAACCACTAAGACTGATGGGAAGCACCTAAGTGCTACAATATTTGTGTTGTTTCAGACTTGTTGAGTCATATTAGACAGTTCACCACTTAGAGAGTCTGTTTAATTCCAGACTGTACTTAATTATGGTCTTAAAATCGTTATCTGCTAAAAATGTTCATATCAGCAGGGCTCTATTGAAAAGTGGTCTCAGATCAGTGATAGATGTATGGATACTTCTCGTGTTCTCCCTCACAGTGTGGTGCTGTGGTGCAGTGACTGCTGTGTCTCATTAATACAGCATGAAATTGGAAATGTGAATTCCCCCGAGGCATCCAGGCCCTGCTCGCTCATGCAGGAGAGGAAGTGTAGTTTAGGGGAGACAGGATAGAGGACACTGGAGACAAGTAGGAGGGAAACAAGGATAAAGAAAGAGAGACAGAGAGAGAGAGAGAGAGAAAAGAGAAAGCAGAATGTCAAGGCATGTTACTAAGGCAAGAATAAAAAGTATATTTGCATTGCTAAATGCAAATGCCGGATATCGCTGAAGGCTCGTGAAGAGGATTTTCTTTTCTTTTGTGAAGAAGAGAAAGCATATAAGGACAAAACAGGGGGGGAAATGCATTTACCAAAACACAACAGATCTCTGTCGTGTCTGCTTGAATGGGCTGCTGTTTTTAAAACTGCTTCTTTATCAATTTCTGCTCACCATCTGGGTTTTTTAAAGAGCTCATATAATAAATAAATGAATAATAATAATAATTATGAATAAATGAATAAATAAATAATAAATGTCATTTACTCCCAGTCAATGTGATCGACATACTTATATGGAACTAAACTGCCAAAGCAGCCTGTTTTGAATTCATTGTTTTTGTGATGCTGCAAAAGCTGAAGCATTTACACATATCTGCCTGTTCAGCCTATATCAGTTTAGCTGCACCCATTTACATTGAAGTTCAGCCCAGACTGTTTTCTTAATAAGGCACGAGGGCAATCATTACATACAGTCATGTATGTAAAGGTTTAGGTGCCTGTGGTCAAATTGCATGTTTTGTTGAAGTTTTGTGAATATAAGTTACACATCCTCTACAGAGAACATACTTTTTCCACAGTTTAATGCACAGTTACTGTTATTTGCTTGATTCAATAATTAATTTCTCAACAAACCATAAACATTATAAGTGAACCTCAGGTGAAAAAAAAAGACAAGAAAAGGATGTGGTCCCTTTAATGCAGTCCTGTCTTACCTCTCCTGTCTGTTCACAGTGCCTGGAGCCATGCAAGGAATCCTGGGAACTAAAGGATGGACCTTGTCGGGAGCTGTGCGAGGTATCAGCTACAATTTTCCTCACACTGTTTCTGGGATGCTCTTAGCAAGAGAGAAAAAATCCCCGTTTATTGCTCAGTCCACAGTCCTTGTTGTCTAAATACTGCTGATCATCTATTTTCCAATACTGAAAGACTTCTCTACCATATTAGTCAGTTCCCATTATTAAAATGACAAACAAAAATGAACTTCCTTAATTAGATTGCAGCTTTTTTTGGATGGAATTCAAGTTGACCTTGTTTCCTTTGTTTGCGAATCCTGTGATTGTTATAGATGAGAGTGGTTTTTTATTTATTTATATATTTTATTAATCTAAATTGATTTTTGAGCAAGCTGTGTTTTTCCTTTCCTCTTACATGATTCATAAAATTGCAAGAACAATGGGCGTTCTTTTAAACAATGGTCAAAGACATATAAGAGACACTCCTGAAAAAGATGGTTATTAACGAGTTCTTCAAGGGTTCTTTAGTTCTATAGAACCGTGAAAACTCAAAAAACCATTTAAATGCTTAAAGGGTTCTTTTTGAGAGAGGTTCTATATAGCACCAAAAAGAGCTTGACATTGTAGGTAGAACCCATAGAACATGGGTTCTACATTGCATTAAAATACATTGCACTAATGATACAAATATGTGTGTGTGTGTGTGTGTGTGTGTGTGTGTGTGTGTATGTATGTATGTATGTATGTATGTATGTGTATGTGTATGTGTATGTATATATATATATATATATATATATATATATATATACATATATATATATATATATATACATACACACACACACACACACACACACTTCTCTATACAGTCATGTGAAGATCCCTCATAATTATTTGTTTAAGTCACACCCATTGCTAACAAGTGTATACAAGCAAGCACATAGCCATGCAATCTCCATAGACGAACGCTGGCAGTAGGTCACACTGAAAAGCTGCTAGATCTGCCCTCAACTGCTTTTTGCGGTGTATAATTGAAGTGGTTGTGAGCAACAAGTAAACCGTGGAAACTTGCAGAGCGAGGCCACTGAGAGCCGAAGCGCAAAGCGCATGAAAATCATCTGTCCTCTGTTGCATCCCTCACTGAGTTCCAAGCTGCCTCTGGAAGCAATATCAGCACAAGACTGTGAGTTGGGAGCTTCATGAAATGTATTTCAATGGTTGAACAGCTGCACACAGGTCTCAGATCACTGTGCTTAAAGCCAAGCGTCAACTGGAGTGGTATAAAGCTCCGGTCACTGGAATCTGCAATTCCATCATCTGGAATGATGAATCATACTTCATTATCTAGCAGAATGATGGATGGGTATGACAGACGCTAGGAGAACGCTACCTACTGGAATGCATAGTGCTGACAGAAAGTTTGGTGGAGGAGGAATAATGGTCTGGGGCTGTTCCTCAGGGTATGGGCTTGGCCCCTTTGTTCCAGTGAAGTGTAGAGTTAAGGAAACGCCATACAAAGACATTTTAGACAATTATATGCTGCCAACTTTGTGGCAACAGTCTGGGGATGGCCCTCTCCTGTTCCAGCAAGACTGTGCCCCTGTGTTTAAAGGGACATAGTTTGACGGGTTTAATGTGGAAAAACTCCAGTGGCCTCCACAGAGCTCTGAGCTCAACCTCTGGGATGAACTGGAACGTTGATTGTGAACCAGGCCTTCTCGTCCAAATGCAGTGTATGACCTTACAAATGATCTTTTGACTAAATGGGCACAAATTCCCATAAACATGCTCCAAAATCTTGTGGAAAGCATTCCCCCGGAGGAGTGGAGGCTGTTATAGCCGTAAAGAGAGGGGGCAACTTCATATTAATGCTCACACCCATGCTTTTGGAATAGGATGTCCAGCATGGCATGTCCACATACTTTTGGTCAAATATTGTATATTGCTATTGGTAGCAAACGTCTTTTCTTAGTCTAACAAAAAACGCAACAAAGCATGATAACATGGCTAACAAAAAGTAGAAGTTAGTAGTCGGCAATTAGCATGAGGCTACTTAGTGACTATTCACTTTCATTCATTTGTAGCAACTATTAGCTTTTTTGACTGAAAAAAATATGTATAACAATGGTTCTTTAAAGAACCTTCCATTGAAAGATTGGGAAGCAAATCTGGTTCTTCTGTACCATTACTCTAAAGAATCATTTTGGCACCTTTTAAGAGTGTATTATAACAAATGACAACATTGGCATTTCCATAGTGCTATTTAACCCAACCACAAAATTACACAACTATCATAAAACAATGTCTCTGGCATCAGGCAGTGTGTAGATAATGATTTCGCGAAATAACTTCCTGTGATGAGGCTTCAAGAGACATTAAACTCCTCAGATGTCTGGTTCCTATCAGCACCACTGTGAACAATTCTGACTCAGTAATTTTCTTTAGCATGGACACTTTTCTCATTATACGAAGTGAATGATTTTGTGTACATCTTAAAAATTGAACTATACAGTAATTTAGAGTAATCAATGGAATTCCCCATTATTATATAGTAACTACATTATTATATAGTAACTACTATGACTGTATAGTAACCACTATGAGACTAATATGTAGGTTGTCAAGAGACTGGGAAAAGGAAGTCTGTTGAAGTTTAAATGGTTAAAACCTTCTATAAATCACTGTGCTACTCCTATTTGCATCCACAGCACGCGTTTCCGAAGCGTCATGGTGAGTGTGTGACAAGCTGTGAGTTTCTGCGCTCGGTCATGGTGGTGAAGCAGGGTGAATGTCCAGCTCCAGAGCGGGCCACTGGCTTTGCCGCCGCCTGCGTGGAGGGCTGTGAGGAGGATGGAGAATGCTCTGCCCACAAAAAGTGCTGCCCCAATGGCTGTGGACACACCTGCCAGCCGCCTAGGAACCTGTACAGAGGTGCGACACAGTGTAACACAATGCAGAGTACATGTAAGATAACACATCACAACACAGTGAAACCCAATGCATTGCCACAACATTATGCATTTTACACTCCAGGCGCTCCTCTGAAGCCCAGGAAGGAGCTGGTGTTTGAGGAGCTGCCCTCAGGCGTGCTGGAGGTGCGCTGGTCCTCCAAGTTCAACGTGTCGGCCGAGCCCGTTCTGAACGTGCTGCAGAGAAGGTGGAACTACGGCATCCACCCCAGCGAGGATGGAGCTACTGAATGGCAAGTGGTGGCACAGGTACGTGTGCATGGTTGAGAAAAAAGGGAGAGAAACATGGTGCTTATGTTTAAATGTGTTTAAATTCATCCATCCACACTTACTCTCTCACATTCTGTCAGTCACTCGTCCATTCTCATCCTGCTCTGCCATTCAGACATTTAGAATCACTGTTCAGAAGTTTGGCATAAATGTTTTTCATGATATAAATCAAGGTAGTGGCAGATACATAAAATTAGTGCTATATACTAGCACTGTGCCATCCCACAGGTTCCAAATAGTTAGCAAGAAGCTATAAACAAAGACATTTTAGATGTGGGAGAATTAAAAACAAAGTTGCAGATGATTCTAATATGACAGAGAAAGCTGTATTATGAATTTAATATCCAGAATGCTATATTTCAAAAATGGTCTTCAAATTTCAGCAGGTTACCTAACAAAAAAATTAGTGTACAAATAATTACACATGATCCTACTGTGGTTCCCAACATACATACTAAAACTATAATTTCTTTCAAATTAGGTCAATCTTGCATGCAATGTACACGTATACAACTACAAAGTATTCCCTATGAATAACAGTCCATTGTCCAATACATGCCAAAATTTTCCCCTTATGAAAGCTGGGTGGTCCTAATCTCGGGTAATACTTATGTAAGCACTGCCCTGGCCAATGACAAGGTTTATATGGTTTGTCCTGCCCCCACAGCTTTAATAAAACGTCTCTTACACCCTCTCTTCATTCGAGTTAGCTAGTAATCTAGCCATTCTGACTGCCTGTCAACCACCCATTCATTAACTGGCACCTTGAACAGTAAACCGAATACTTGAGCACCGTGCGCATCCCTAGTTCATTTATTCATTCGACTGTCAAACCAGCCATGCTGGGATTCTGTGTTTGTGTGAAAGAACCTTACCTTCTTTAAAAGCATCACAACATTAAAGCTAGATGATAATTTTACTGAGTCATGGAAACAGCAGGGATCGTCTAAAACGGGTCCCCAGTGTCATCCACAAAGGCTGTGGATTTTCAATCCAACGAAGCAGAAGCACCTCATACAACTAATCAGTTGTTTGAAGACTAAGACCAAAAGAAAAAGTGTGCTAAAATCAGCAGGAAAGTGTTTTATTTAAGTTCGTTCTCTGGGCAGGATGTATTAACTTATTTTCACTTAGAAAACTATCAAAGCATGTGCAACTTTTGCATATGACTGTATAGTTTGTCACATCTTATCTTGTTTTTCATTCAAAGTTTGCTGGATGATAATACTCATTTTTAGTATCATACAACCTTTTCTCATATATTTTATACATTAAATTATTTCCTGAAATCTAAAAATATCATTTGGTGTCTGGTTTAAAGTATTTAAATCTACATTATGTAAGTTGTGCATTATGCTTAAAATAACAGCACTTATCTATAGAATGGAAGTGTCTATATTGTGGCTGTTGTACTGAATCCTCTGTCTCTGATTGGATGTTGTAGACGTCTGAGGAGCGCGTGTGGCTGTCTGATATTCGACCCGGCCGCTGGTATCAGTTCAGGGTGGCTGCGGTTAACGTGCACGGCACCAGAGGATACACCATGCCCAGCAGACACTTCAGATCATCCAAAGGTCAGAGAGACACTGAGCTAGAGAATATTTATGACATGACTGATTTGAATCACTCCGTGTTGTCATTGCTGATGATGAGAACAGCATGGTGTAGTTTTATATTCATCATATTCTCATCTGTGGTTATTTCTCACAAGATGTTTTATTTTGATTTGAATTTGATGAAGTTATTGTTGTGTGAATTGTCATGTTATTTTATTTTTGCACATTTCTGTATAATTCTTTTACTTATAATTAATAATTAATTATTTGTAAATAATTAATATTTACTAGGAGTACAACGATACACATATTTTCAGGCTTGATATGATGTTTGATTCTAAGGTCATATACACATTGATGCCTGGTTTAGATCACTGATGGTGCTTTTCAAGAAAGACGTCAAATACTTGACAGAGAGACCAAAGAGGATATCAGTATTAAATTACATTATACTGTATGGAACATTTTCTTTTTTGATACTCTATTAAAATAGTGATTTAATTACTGATTGCATACGAATAGTGTAGCAAACAACAATAATAATAAACCAGATGAAGTAACAGATTCAAGTAGTGTCTAGGGCACACAAAGACCCTCCCATGCACTAAAAAATGATGGGACATCAGGTAATAGAGGACACTAATAACACTTTTGTTTATTCAAATCATAAGTGATTAAATAGTGTATTTGTGTTTATTAGCATATTATTTCTAACTGAGCAGAAGGAAATATAAATACAACAGTTTCATTAGTGCGAATTACATGTACATGTTCATTAAACTCAATTTAATCTAAATGGTAACGCTTTATTTGGATAGTCCACTGTAGATGTTTTGCAGATGCTTATCTTACACTTAACTCACATTCAGCTAAATATCTGTCTTCATTTTCCTGAACGCTAATTCTAACTCTAACTTTAACTTCAAACCTAAACCTAATCCTAACCCTGACCCAAGTTTCAGCAGATAGTTTGTAAATAATTTGAACATCTCCAGATAATCTATTGAGGGTCTGTCCAAATAAAGTGGGGCTGAATATTTTCTGTGTTATATTTTATATGACTCTCTATATAATATCTCTCTCTCTCTCTCTCTCTCTCTCTCTCTCTCTCTCTCTCTCTCTCATATGTAATCAATATTTCTCCCATTCAGATCCATCCCCGCCTCCGGCCCCCTCTGACATGCGGGTCAGTCACATGTCCTTTGGTCCAGACCGGTCCGTGTCTGTTCATGTAAACTGGGAAGCTCCAGCAGACTTGGACATCCCAGTACATCATTACAAACTGTCCTGGAGCTGGACAGTCAGCGGTGGAGAACTGGCCACTCCTCCAAAACTCAAGAGGAGGAAGACCGTCAATGGGGTAAATATTATTCAGCTTCCTTTCTTTCTTTCTTTTTCTTTCTTTCTTTCTTTCTTTCATGCCTTCCTTTCTTTTAGGCGTTTCTCTCTCTCTCTCTCTCTCTCTCTCTCTCTCTCTCTCTCTCTCTCTCTCTCTCTCTCTCTCTCTGTCTCTCCCTCTCTCTCCCACCACCAGCAGGCTGCTCTAATTCCTCAAACTCCCCTCAAAGGCAGAAACTCCACAGCTCCGTTTTTCTTTTTCATTCGGCAAGCCGCAACAAATTAAGTATCCCAGCGCAAACGGCGCAAGATAAACAACTCGCGAGAGCGCCTTTGATCACACAAAGCCTTCAATCAGAGCTCTCAGACAGTGAAGCAGGGTGGTATTGCATTGCATCACTGCTGCTGGCAAAAGGCAGCATTTCTCTGCGTCGTCCGACAAATGGCCAAAAACAGCATATCGGCTCTCGTTCCGTTAGAGAAAAGGAAATCTCTTAATAACAACGAAATTGTTTTTCTTCGAGTGAGATCATTTTCAAGGAGTTTATTTTTTTTCTTTCCCCTGAGCAATTTCAGGGGTGGCAGCGGCACTGTTTGTGTTTTATCTACATGCTACATTTTTCAAAAGGCTGGAGGGGGAGTTGTGGACATTTTCTTGTAAACCCACATTTTTTAAATAACTGCTGGTTGAATTGGGACACATCAAAACCTTGCTTTAATATAAAACCTCTAGTGCTGTATTTGAAGCTCTTATTACAAAAGGAAAATAATGGAAATCATTTGTTTATCCAAGCCATACCAGAATGCCAAATACAAGAATTTGAATTACATCATGTGCTGTATTTCCATACACGAAAGCTTTTGTCTTGTTTAATTGGTTAGATGATTAATAAATGTAGTAATAATACATCACTAAATGTTCTTTGTACCATCTGAATGCAGTCAGGTGCTAACTGGGTTTGACAGAGTTTACATTGTTTTCTTATAAACCAAAGGCAAAAGGAATTGATTGACATGATTTTTAAAGTTTGTAAACCTTTACACTGAGCATTTAGTGGGTCCCTACTTTTATTATGCACTCTTATAACATAAGAATAGTTCATGCAATGCCAGTTGGCGTTGCAGTCCGTGTAGTTACTGAAATAATAACCCTTAGGATGTAATAAGCCTGCAGTTTTAAGGGATTAATGAAGACTTCAGAAGCATCCCAGTGGGACAATGTCATTACATTTATTATTACTTTTAGCAAAAATAATTAAAAGGAACAATTCAACCCAACACTTATCTGATTCTTTAACATCCGCCCATTGGCTTCCATTGTAAATGTCTGAGTCAACAGTTTTTGTTATTTTTTAAAGTACTAGGAAATATGTTGTCATTGTCTGACTGTTCTTTTAAGAATCAGTTAGCTGGACACTATTGCTGCAGACATTTTAATGAGCCTATTTATTCTGTTAATAAATGTATTGTTGTCTATTATCTCTTAAAATATGAATGTTCATGGTTGTTTGTATTGCTTCCAAAATGTTGGCCTATAGTGAAAATATGACTGTTCAAACACATGGACCTTCCTGAAGAGGCACTCTGGCCAAATTGAAATATAGCAAACAACAAATGTGAGATAAACATACTTATTCGCGCCTCTTACAGCAGAGCAGCAGTAGTCTCTAAAGTGAGATTTTCTGGTGTAAGAGGTAGGACTTTCCTGCCCCGCAACTGCTTTGGGGTGGATTTTTGGTGGCAGACTGCTTTGATTTCCATTAGCTGGTGAATGCAGAAGGAAAGCAAATAGCTCATGTTGTTGCTGGGAAACCAAATACCTTAATGCAACCTCATAACTGTAGTAACTGTCTTCAAATCATCACTAGAATGGAGGAATGGATTACTTAAACGGCAGAAATGACTCCTCAGATTAGGAGGTTAGGTGATTTAGGAAACAAGCTAAAAGCTAAGTTAGCAAGCTAGACAACTGGCTATCTTGATTCTTTACCTTAGTTTTGCTTATTTTCTTAGGCTGAAAGGATAAAAAACTTGTCTCTGGTGTTCATTTTGTGCTTAATAAACATAGAATCACTGTTTTTTTTATGATTTTCTTCAATGATTGTTACACTAGAGAGTTACACTAATGCTAGCTCAGGTGCATTTGTTAGCAAATCATTAGCTAGCTGTCAGAATTGGTTGACGTAACAAGGATTTCTTACGTGTTTGTGCAAAGCATGCTGGGTATTGTAGTGAGAGAAAACTGATGAATGAAAACATGATAACGATATAAAGCAAGGTTGAGGCATATAATGCTGTGCTGCATAACACAACAAATAACATGATAAACTAGCTTTAGGCCAGAAAGCCCCTTTACACTTATTTTGTGAATATGATATACAACATGTACTCACTGTACATTTATCTATGGCTCTTGGATAAAGGGGCCACTTTAGCTGTCTGATCCTTCAGTACTGTGGCAGCATTCTTACCTTACCTTCTTACCTTTTTTGTGTGTAGGACTCTAGTTCAGCCGAACTGGAGGGTTTGAGGGAGAATAGAAGCTACACACTCGAGCTGCAGGCCGTATCCTACTGGGGCCAACTCCCTCTGAAAAGCTCCAAGGCCATCCTGCGCTTCTCAACACAACGGACAGAGACGCGTATGCACCTTATTCACTTATCTTTTAAAGGGATGCTTCACCCATACAGTGCTAATGTAGCTTACCATGCATGAAAGCTTTGTTGCCATATAGCATAACTGAATGGTAATGGCACCCTCAGCTTTCATTCATTGTAAGTAAGGTTATTGGTTATTATAATTTTAATCCCGTAGACAAACCTACCTAACCTAGGTTTTAGATTCACAGTTATCAAGTGCTTTATCAGAGTTACTGAATAATTGAATAAGTCTTAAATGGGCAGTATCATGGAAAACCAATTCTCCTTGCTTTCTAGTTTGATGTAGATATTTTATTAAGCATTGTTCATGTTTTAAAACAGACCATTCACTTCCCAGTCTATGCAGTCTATATGTTAAAATCAGGCTGCAAAAAAATTGCATTAATTGTTGTAACAAAAAAATCTAAACAACATGTTTACAGATATCTTTCTATTTAGTCTAAAGCAGTTTAGCCCCACCCATTTACACTGAAGTTATAAGGAGTGTTTCTCCTGGACTGCTTTTTTTGAGACAGCCAGTCAGAACTGAGGCCATTTATATCTATCCACCTTAAAGGCTCAGTAACCAAAACAGCCTGTTTGATTAAGTGACAAATAGAGGTGGGAAAAAGATTAATGTCAGAAAAAAAAATTTTTTTTGGTGCATTAAACCACTTAAACTTCATAAGTGGACCTCAGGGAAACAGGATGTGGGCCATTTGAGTTTAACAATCTAATAATAAGCCACCCGTTTAAGGGATTAATGCATTTTCCCCTTGTAAAGGGATTTATTTACTAATGCATGTTTCTTCTGTAAAGTTTACACTTCTTATGGGTGTTGTGAATGAAAGGAGCGCTATAAATTCTCCACATTTTTCTACTCTGCCTTTATTTCCCGTAATCTTGGTTTAAGTGTTATTACTTTCAGAGTGCCTTGCATATTTGGTGGCTTTGGTTTGTATTCGGTTTCATGCCAGTGATACTGTGTTTTCATGATTGGCTTCGTTTCAGAGCCCACGGTGAGTTCTGTGCCTCAGAAATCTCAGTCAGACATTCTGGACGTGGGCACACCATTCTACCAAGACGGACAGCTCCAGGTTCGCGTTTACTGGAAGAAACGAGGTATGAAGGAATGGAAGGAACGGATGGATCTCGTCTTTCATCAATTCAGGGGCTATGGGAAAAACCCTGTGGTGTTTTGAACTGCAGTAAAAAGGACCCCACCTCAAAGCACAGATCTGTCTTTGCGTAAACAAAGAGCTAATCATAAAGTTAAGGATCAGGATTTTGTGTAATTAAAAGAAGAACAATGGCTTGCTGCCACTTGGCCGGAAAAACTTTACTCAAATCAGTGTAGTCTTGATCATGAACTAGCATGTCTGCACTTATTAAGAAGCTGTGACAGTTGCATTACTTGGTGAATGATCTTAGATGTGTACCTGGAACTACATGCTGCTGCCCTTGAAGATGAATATACTTTGTATCCACTGTAAATGGTCAGAAAAGAGCCTCGATTTTGTATGGAGGCATCCAAGGATAAAGCCCATGAATCATTTTAATATAAGTCCAGAATTGGCCACAGTTCAAATGCATTCATAATCCTTCTAATGGATGGGGAAGAGATTTGAGAAGACTACTCATGCTTATCACTGCTGTACATTATGGAGATTGCCTGGGTTTGGGTGCCATCATTCAGCAGACAAGGGACATGATATGCAGGCATTTGACTACAGCTAAACTGCAAAAGAAACAAAATGAAATGATTTTCATGAAAAGAATGAAATCAAGTCAGATCTTCTTTCATATAGTTCTTTTCATGCAAACATTGCAAGGCGAAGGGGCTATACAGACTGAAACGAATGAGATAATTCAAAGGTATGAATGAGATCAGGATATAAAATGTTTTTGGTGGTTTCTGTACATCTTAAAGTAAGCCTGAAATGAAAAATGCCATTTTTACCTTGTTAGTTCATATCCCTGGTCACGGTTCATCACATCGTTTTATTAAAAAGACAAAACTTTTTTCCCTGTAATCTTCAATCAAAATGTAATGACTTTTACTTACTTCTAAAACATCTATTGAGTTTTGATTATGTCATTGTCCAACAGCAGGCAGGGCAAAATAATATTAAGAGTATGATTGTATCACCTCCCCCTCTTACCAGCCCCACCTATCGTGTAGAAAAAGGCTCAGCTAGCTCAGAGACCATCCCTGATACCATCTTTCACTCAGAAATATGTCAGCATGAAAATAAGGTGTTATGATTTCCCATTCAAGTTGACTTTAATTTTATTTTAATCTGTTAACTTTTATCTTAGTTCTGTTTAAAAGAAGCTTGTTTGCTTTCTTGCTGCTTTCTTGTATCATTTATAGAACAGTCCTAGGCAACCTCACTTCGCTTTGTTCTACACTGAAGACTAGTTGCTTGTTGTCATTCTCACTATAGCATTGTCTAATTTATGGTTGCAAAGGGGATGGATATAAAAAAATTGTCCAGCTTGCAACTTTTTACACTGTCCGAAATGTCATTAAGAAATGAAAGATAAGGGGAACAAGGGAATATCTGGAAGACCATGAAAACTCTGAGACAGAACTGCTAGTATGCTAGCCCAAAAGGCAAAGCAAAACCCCCATATGACAGCAAAGGACTTGCAGGAAGGTTTAGCTGACTCACCAGTGTTGGTGCACCCATCTATTGTGCAGCGTTGCTTGAACAAACATGATCTGCAAGCAACATATAGAAACATCACGAGTAGATAGAGGAATGAATTCCACTAAATATCAGCAAATTCTAGAAGCAAACATGACAAAATCAGTCAAGAAACTGAAGCTGAAAAGAGGCTGGCTTCTACCACTTAAGACATTCCTCAAAATCCACCACAAGCTACTTCAAGAAACAGAAGCTGAAGCTTTTGAAATGGCCCTCAGAGTCCCCTTACTTAAACATCATTGAAAATCTGTGGGTAAATTTTAAAAATGCTGTGCATGCAGATGACCCAAGGACTATCAGAGAACTAGAAGTGTCCTGGAAGGAAGAGTGAGTGAAAATTATTGTGTTTGGTACCTTCAGGTCTTGTACATTTGTTGTGGCTTTGGGCCAGATGTGTCTAATTTAGCTGGTTTTCAATGCTAAAACCACTGCCTGTTTTCTTTTCCAGACCCAAATGTGAGCCGTTACCGTGTGCACTGGTTCCCTGAGTTCTGCTCGCATAATGGAAGCAGAATCCAGGAGAAGCTCATCACTCAGGTAGCCTCCCAATTCATCTTACCCACTAGAAATTTACAGGTACAAGGCTCATACCCTGGCATGAATTCAACCATAAGACAGATCACTGTAGGAAATAACAATTGATCACTGTGAGTGGATAAAAGACCAAATGGGAAATCTCGAGAAGTTCTTTGAGGAGTTCCTTTGAGAAACACAAAGCAGGAATGTTGATGACAAGTAGTTTAACTTAGAAGACAGATACTCATGTGGTAAGAAATCAGACACTAGCTCACTTTAAAACTTTCCCACTATTACTAGAAAACAGTCAAATATCGATTAAAATACTGAGCTCTAATTCTACCGAAGTCTTAATTGGTGTCAGAGCTGATCATGGCTTATTTTAATAGGTCAGTATTGACTATATCAAGCGAAGTCAATGCCTTGTTGCATTCAACTGTGGAAGTATTTCTGGTTTTGCATATCCTCTTTGGGGGCTGAGCCCTCCTAACTTAAAATCACCCCGGTTCACAGTATGTGACATACATACTAAAATGAACTGACTTTACTGTAGCATTTTAATATAATTGGCAGCATATCTTACCAAAATTGTATTGATTTTACCAACTTTAATGTACTTTATTTGTGCACTATGCGTTTTTTTTATCTATGGATATACAAATATTAAATCAGACTTGATATCAACAGATACCTAATAATAAACTATACAATTTAGGACCGGGGCAAAAAAAAACCTTGATTGTGACTTTTCATGATTTTTATCTTTTATTTTCTTCTCATGATCTTAATTGTACTGGGGTGCTCATAACTTCATTATATTGTGCTCCAAAGGAGAATTATGCAAGCCTGCCTGGTCTACAGTTCTCCTGCAAGTATAAAGTCTTCATCCATCCAGCGGGGTCCAAAGGCCGAGTGCAGGCAGAAAGCACTACCTTCTACACCCCATCCTGTGCTTCCATCCAGGGAAAAAGCGCCAAACCTATCCTCTGCCCTGGAGAACCAGGTTAGTCTCCTATATCAATAGACTAATAGATAAGTTTACACAAGCGCTGTGCAAGCTTATTCTCACAAACAGCAAGGATTAGAGGTTTATCTCTTAATTTTGCTCAGGGCATCTGTTACCTGATTAAGAAGCAGTAGACCATACCTGCAGATGCTCCAGAGTATTAAATCACAGAGGTGCGCCTCAGCGTCTCATTATCCCTTAGAAGCCAAAAGTTATTACTGTCATTAGTTTCACTCTGAAGTGGTGCAACCATCTGAATGTTGATCCTGTCGTCAGAAGATGTGTGAGTTCAGTCAATGGTGATGCTACAGCCATCCAAGGCTGAGAGTCCAAGACAGCATAATTGGTCTCACTCTCTCTGGGTGGGCGGGATGGTCCTCACTTTTCCTATCGCTTAATGTGATGACATGGGCGTTTGTCAGCTAATGCAACAAAATTGGTAGTTTGAGTTTTTCTCCAAGCACACTGAACTGTCCAATGATATTGCAGTAGGGGGAGTTCAAAAGATGCTGTTGCTAGATTCATGTGTTTTGGAGGATGCATATACTAGTCTTCTCTTTCCTAGCTTGGTAGCAGCATGTGATGGGGATACCCAGCTCGTGCTTAGGATCCGGCAACATCTAAATCGGTGGGGGCTGGGATTGGATGAAAATCTGGTTGTTTCAGTGACCTACAAGAAATATTACTATAAAATCACACTTCCAGGGGTTAATAATAGACCAATATAATGTATTAGTTAAATGAGTTAAACAGAGTCAAAATCGTATACAATGGAGCTTTCCAAAGTTTTTCACTTGTGTTTACAACTTGGTCACCATTTGAGTGGAATTTACTTGAGGTACATTCAGAAGTTCATGAGTTTAATGGGGATCCCAAAATACAACATACATCTGTGTGTGGAATCTTGAATATAGGGTACTGAAGGACGACTGGTCCTCATTCACCCCAGTTCTTTGCAAGAGTTGACACAAGGTGTCTTCATAACATAAAATTGTCTTCGTAAGGTCTTCACTTTCATGGCTTGGTAGCGTCGTGTTCTGGCCTAGCTAGTGCATGTAAATTGGTTTCAAAAAAATTGACGGGGTGGCGGCGAACTGAGTAAAAATGTGGATGCTTCAGTGAGCTACAAGTGAGAAAAATTACAGCTAAATGAGTCAAATGGAGCATATCAGCTTTTGATTAATTCACATCAGGCCGGTCTCCCTTCTAATCCCTTTAATTATCCTTTGAACATTTCTTTCTGTAGCTGCTCCGCCAAAAGTCCTGGCCAGGGCAGAGAACCTTACTGCAGCCTTCTCCGTCCACAAGGGCAACGTGACTGGCTTGTTCTCGTGGGTGGTGGCCGTGCCTCGATCACCTCAGCAGGTCACAGGCTACCAGGTCACCTGGGCAGAGGTCACCGCCGAGAGCCGCAAAAACAACCTTGCAAACAGCCTCATCTCTCAGTCCCAAATCCTACCTCCAGTGAGTGCCTGACCACCATCACTCTCACCTTTCCAGCATTATAAAAATAAAGGTTCTTTGCAGGGATATACAATTGTTGGAAAAATATTAATTTGTATTGAACCTCTATGTTATGTGGAGATTCTTTTTAAGAGTTTTGCTTCCACGTATCATTTACAAAAGGGTTTCTCAAAGATCTACCCACTGAAAGGTCCTTTAGGGATCCATAAGTGGTTAAGCTATGGCATTGTTTACATGAACACCTTTGGCACCTTTCTTTTTGACAGTGCCTATATTATGATGCAAAAAACAAACTGAGTTTTGTCTACTAGTGTATGCAGATGTTCCTTGAAAAGTTAGAATATTGTCATGTGAGCTAATTGTAAGTACTAGTTGTTTGCCTATGATTGGTCATCAGTGCCTGACAAATTTATCAGTATATATATCTGCTTGGATGGACCAATGACATCACTCCCTGCATGAGTTTACACAGTATCAGATGTTATCAGTCTGCTGATACAGTTATGTGCAAAGGTTAGACACCTGTGGTTAAATTACATGTTTTGTTGATTTTCTAAGTGAAAATAAGTTAACACATCCACTACAGAGAACACAGTTCTGCAAACTTTAATGTACAATTACTGTTTATTTTCTGAATTTAACATATCGGGGGAGAAAGGAAACATACAATGTGGCCTTTGCAAAAATGACATTTTATATTTCATTATTTTCCAATATGTTTAAATCAACAAAAAAACATTTGTGCACTAAACTTCGTAAAAACAAATGGCATACTTAAGTTCCTTGTAGAGGATGTTTTAACTTGTTTTCACTTAGAAAATCATGTCTAGTCTTGCAAACTGGTAAACTCTTATTAAACTGTAGCTTGCTCATGTTTTGCACTTGTGTTTACAACTTTGTCACCATTTGAGCACCACTTCCTTGTGGTAAACTTGGAAGTTTTGCATTTTACAAGGACCTCAAAATGCACCATAAGTCTACTTAGTCTTGTCCTGACCAGTTTGAGGAAGACTAGTCCTCAGTTCTTTGCAAGGTGCGACAAAGTGTCTTTGCAACACAGCTGTCTTCATGAAGTCTTCATAAGTCTTTACACAATATCCCTTTACACCAAATGTGGTCAGTCAGTCAAAACATGTTTGGTGTCTGAAGTTTGCTTCTTTAGTTTTGCACTGGAGCTATGAGGCTAAGTTATCTAAGAATTATTGACAGTCTATGTCAGTCAGATTCTTTAAATTTAGAAACTAGAGCCTGAAACTGTGCACAATAGCCAGTCCCAGCAGTCAGACCTTGGTCCAAACAAAATAGCTCTTTAGTCTTGATCCCCAAAATAGCTTTTCCACATTTCAGGCCATTGCATGGGGCACCTTTTATTTGGCTAGATCGATCCAATGTATTCCCCTGATGCTTGTTTATAAAACGTCAAATGTAAAAGTCAGTGCATTTTATGTTTTATTTTTTTTTCCAATATGTCAAATTGTCAAATATCCAATATCTCTCTCTCTCTCTCTCTCTCTCTCTCTCTCTCTCGATCTCTCTTTTTCTTTCTCTTTCTTACTCTCTCTCCCTCAGGAGCGAAATATTCTTGTAGTCTCTGGCTTGCAAATGGCGTCTCTCTACAGGCTGGAGGTGGGGGTGATGACCACTGGAGGACAGGGTCCAACCACTTCCAGAACCTTCCAGACTCCAGGTCATGCCAGGCCAGTCCTGCAGTATAGTAAGCACCCAAAACCTAATGAGCACTTTTGTTTTAGCTTTAAAATACCATTTATATAACATTGATTTCTATTCCTTTCTGCTTTGTGGTTGCATAAGAAATAATACACCATAATAAGATGCTGCTAATGATGTTTCATTATAAATATGTATGTATAATGGTGAGTCTGGGCTTTATTCAAGGTCTTCAGCACCCAATGCTTGGAATAGAAAATCTTTTTTTAAAGTGTGGCCTTTAGAAGCCATCCAGCCATCCAAGGAAAATGCAATGTCAAGTGACTGTGACATAGAGGCTTTTAAATGTTGATAGAAGTCATGGTTGTGGATTTGTGAAAGCCAATTAGAAGGTCACAGCATGCCTGTGTGTGTGTGTGCATACTTAAGTCATTAAGTCATTGAATTAAACTAAGTAATTCAGAGTAGTTTTATTCATTCATTATAGAGAAACACACTGACTTGGAATTATTTACAGTGTGGAGATGGGAACCAGGGGTCATTATGTATAGAACTCAAATATTGGCATTTACTATGCAAAACGATCAGTGAACCCTACATCTATCTCTCCACCGTAATTGGATTTTATGTATGTTTTAGGTCAACACCTTATCCCAATGTACCCAAAATACCCAAACAATGTCTCAGGCTTCAGCAAGTGTATTAACAAACTTTCATACAATAATTTGTTTGTGTGGTAAAATTCAGGGGCCTTAAGCACTTCAGATGTCTGGTTCCTGTTACCACCACTGCAGACAATTATGACTCATTAGAATAGAAGCATTTCACATCAAAGGACTCTGAATGATTTTGTTCACATCTTAATTTAATTAGACAGACATTTTGAAAAATCGATGGTTAGCATGTGGACTAATGCCTTCAGTGTTTTGTTCTTATCTGTAGGACCTAAGGTGAAGAAGCACCACTTGAGGTCAGTCGCAGAAGAGCACTGAAACTGAAGTGAACCATCTAGAACCCTAACCCCAGCTCCTCAGGAACCCGAAGAACCGAAAGAACCAAAGAACATTCAGGAGAGAAGCTCATAGCAGAAGCTTTTGAGCAGGTCAGAACCCTTCAAAAATCTGACTCTGGAAGTGTTGAGAAGGAGATTTGGAAAGACATTCCCAACAAAGGATATCCATCATTGAGAGAGTCAGGCAAGGAGGAAAATAGGAACAGAAAAAGTGTAAAATAATGAAGATAAAATGGATACAAAAAATAACCTGAGTGAGTTACTTTGTTGTTGGAAAAAAAAACTGCAGTGCTGTTCAAACGTCAACTCATCATTCATTTGATTTCCAGTCAAAAAGTACAAGTTATTCATTTCTGAGGAGATATTTCTGAGGAGGAAGGAGAAAGTCAGCGGAAAATTAGGGAGAAAACAGGAGTTTCCCAAACTGGAGAAAATGGAACCACCATAACTCTCACCACAGTCCATACAGTACTTAAAGCTTTCGTCTTTGGTGTGTGTGTGTGTGTGTGTGTGTGTGTATATGTGTGTGTGTGTGTGTGTGTGTGTATATATATGTATATATATATATATATATATATATATATATATATATATAATATGAGAGAGAGAGAGAGGGAGAGCGCTATCCTTCCACTGTGAGAAGACAACACTATGGTTCTGAAAGAATGTGCAGCTGTCAAGAAGCCATTATTGAGAAAAGAAAATAAATAAAAAAGAAGAAAATTTCCAGATCAAAGAACAAGCTGCTGGTGTTCTCAGAACATAAAAATGGATCCAGACCTCAACATCGCTGAATGTGTTTGGATTACTTGGAGTGTGAGAAGCAGAAAACACAACCAACTTCTAAGACTGAACATTAAATATATTGTGCAGATTTCTATGATAAACTGAAAGCAAGTCTCTTGAAAACAAAGGCAAAAGGTGGACACACTAAATACTGAATGATTTGGTATTATGATCAGTTGTTGACGCTTCTATGATATTTTCTCTTAAATATCTATTCTCATTTTTTCCTGACACTGACAAATAAATAACTTGTGAATAATGCAAAACTGAATTGCCATTTTGACTGGAAATTAGATAAATGGAGGGTGGTCTCTGACTTTTGCACAGTACTGTATGCCTCAATATTCAGTTTGTTTAAATGACACTTAACCCTCAAAGGAAACTGACTGTTAATCTCTGCTCCACTATATCATGTGTTGAAAAAAGAAAGAAAACTGAGGAAAAATCCTGTGTCGCATGTGTTTGCTTGGCCCCCTAAATGACGTGGACTCGTGAAATGGTTGTCAGCGGTTCTGCATGTGTATTTCCCCCCCCGTGATCTGTGGGCATGCACCTTTTACCCTGTGTCTCCTTACAGCTATCATCTCCTCCCCAGCAACAAACCATAAACTGCAAACCATGAATCATATTCGGTGTATTGATGATCAAGTCTAAATGATATCTCATTTAAAGTGTAAAGCGGACATTGTTTATGTGCTTCTTACGCTGTACAATTATTTGTTGCGATGCTGTCTTGTAATTCCTGTATATACTATATGTCCTTATTTATTTGTGTATACACTACAACTGTGTAATGCTTGTGTGCGTGTGTGTGTTTGTGCGTGTGTATGTTTGTATGTGTGTGTGTGTGTGAGTGAACTGTATAATATCCTCCCAGAATCCCTCATAAACACCTTCATATGGAGATTTTGTGTAAAATAGATTTGTAAAGTCCCATGGATTAAAAAAATGTAATGTACATATTTTTTATTATTAAAATCCTCACACCCTACTTCTACATCTAATATGTTCTTCTTTTAATTGTGCTTTTATTTTGAGTGGATCAAACAATGGTATGAAATGATTAGTGGATTTAAACGAATACTCAATCATTCTTTGGATTAGTCTCTGCCATGGTCAGTTATCAAGGACAGTCATTTTCATGGACTTAGAAAATCTCAGAAAATACATACTTATAGTAGAAGTCACTTGGCAGGTGGTTGATTACGGCAACATTTATAGGAATACTCCATTATTTCTAAACGTAATTTTTGTCTGCCACATCTCGAGCATACAGTCAGCTATCACGGACAGTACCTTCCATGGACGTAGGAAATAACAGAACACAAAAATGTTCACTCAAAACACTCTTATAATGGACTTCAATTGGTAGGTGTTGGACTGAGGCCAAGTTTAAAGGCATACTCGATCATTCTTCAACTTAATCTATATCTGTCACATCTGTAGTAAATGGTCATTTTTCAAGAACAATAAATTCCCCAGACTTAGAAAAGAACAGAAAAAGTTCATTTAAAATGTCCTTATAATGGAAGTCAATTGGCAGGTGTTTGACTAGGGATGCATTCAGACAGTGGAGTGCGTCTGAACGTGCGTCTGAACTATGAGAAATCCACCTGTGACAAGTTTTGCAAAGTGGCGAAGCGAAGCGGAGTGAGGCCGCACCAGAAAAACATGTTCCGTGGCAGAATGAGCCTCCAGAGGTGGTGCTCTGAAGGGTACATCTTCAGGAAAGATATTCTATTGCAGCTATATGTTTTTCAGTGACAATCCACATCCTGCAGTAGAATATAATGACATTGTGGGTGTAATAGTTCTGCTGTCTGATCATGGCATAAGGCAATATTTAAAGGAATGCTCCATTACTTTACAACCTAATCTCTATTCGCAACATCTGTAGCATATGGGTCAGTTACCAGTGATGACTGTTTCCATAATGGAAGTCAGTTGGCCGGTGCTTGATTAAGGCTTGATTAAGGACATTAAGAGGAATACTCAATCATTCTTTAGTCTAATCTCTATCTGCCACATCAGTAGCATATGGTCAATTACTAAGAATGACTTGGTCATTTCCATGTACTCAGAATATCATAAATAACACAAAAAAGGTTAAGGCAACATTTAAAGGAATTTTCTATTGTTTTTCAGCATAATCTCTATCTGTCACTTATGTAACATACAGTCTGTTATCAAGGACAACCATTTTTATAAAAATATAAATAAAAAAAAATTAATTCATGTAATACACACACACACACACACACATACATACACTATATACTATATATATATATATATATATATATATATATATGTGTGTATATATATATCTATATATCTATATATATATATATATGCAGGAGAATATGATATAATTATGTTCCCTGACTTAAGGTACTGAAGATGTACTCTTGAGGGCACCACCCCAGTTACAAGAGGCATACCACCTATTTTCTGTAAAAGCCACTGAGCAGGTGCTTTACTCCTTTATGAAAGCCCAGTGGCCTCCATTAAGAGCGTTTCTTTTACAGAGACAAAGCCAGATTTAGATTGAAAGACAGAAATTGTGTTGAAAAACAATAGATTATTCCTTAAATGTCTATAAAATTTCCACACATCTGGAATGCATAATACACTATACCTATGTTCTGAATTAACACACAGAGGTATTACATTCTTTCTCCCAAAGGCAAGCTATTCTTCTTAGCCAAGCAGAAATCACATCATCACTAAAACACAGCGCTATCTGTTCTCCACATAATGATCTCACTTGGGTTAGCGAAGAGTACACAGACGCCAAGGGAGCCTTGCTCTGTTGGAGCAGGTCTTCTTCTGTTTTTCCCGGTTTCTATTTGCGGAGCCATTCGATGTGTGTGCAAACAAAGTAGCGGCAAAGCTCCTGGGATGTGTGTGTGTATGTGTGTGGTTGCACGAACACATGAGGCTTCAGTAGACAAGCCTAGAGTAGTCGGACAGGTCTGTGGAGTGACTTTCATTAGAATCCATATCTTTTTGTTTGCAGGCATATAGCCGTGTGCAAAGGTTTGAATGGTCAAACGACATGTTTTGTTGATTTTTAAGTAAAATAAATTAACTAATCCTCTACAGAGAACACACTTAAACATGGCATTTGTTCTGCAAATTTTAGAGCATAATTTTCATTTATTTGTTAAGCTTAACATATTGGGGAGAAGGACTAACATATAAAATGTGCAATAACTTTTGACCACATTTTCTGTTTTACTTCTTTCTGTTAAAGTAGTTGTATATCAAAAAGTGCAGAAGTGTCTTCTCTGTGGAGGAATCTTAGAAAATCAGCAAAATGTCATTTGAACAGGGGTGCTCAAACTTTTGCCTGCGACTGTATATGCTTTAGGTGTTTTTAAAAAGGTCAAACAATAAAAATGTGCTTAAATAAACAATAATAAGCATTAAAATAAGTTATATTTGGTTGTTACGGCTTCTAATTTTTATCTTAAGTACATATTTTCAGCTTTTTTCCTGGTGCCAAATGCCTTACTGTATTTGATGTCTGTTTTGACTATAAATGAAATAAATGAAGGGTGGTCTCTGACTTTTGCACAGTACTATGCATATGTTCTGTGTCTTACTGTAAGATAAGCAGTAAGAGAATTTAAAACATGCATAATCAGGTGCTTTCTTCTGTATGTATTTTATAGTACGTTAACAGGGTGAATTGGATTTGTGCGGATATGTGTGTGTATGCATGACTATACATCTAATAAATCACTGTACTGTTATTGTTTCCTCCCCATGGGTCCACTCTATGAACTGAGGCAGCAGACAGTAAACAAACTTTATACTTTGCCGGATGCGCTGATATACTGTACACTAACCCCATAACAATACAGATGCAGTGTAATGCCTTTCCCATACGGAGCCAGGCAATGTCTTATGATGGATATTACACATGGCTTGAGTGGACTGTATGGCTTCCATATGTAGTATCAGGGGAGAATGGGTGTGGACGTGGATGTGTGTGTGTGCATGTGTTCTGTGTAGACTGATACTGTGATTTATTTATCATCAGAGGTTCAACTCTAAGCAATGTTTTATAGTTAAATGAAAGTGATCTGACTTGAATCTCCAAGGAAGCATCTCAAAAGGTCAATTGCAATGTGCTAAGTGAAAACTTTTCAGCACACAGATTTGATGCAATGAAACTTTCACTTTATAAAGATTAAGTAAAGATGTGTTTGGACTCAGGGCTATCTCTAAAGGCCTTCTCACAAGGCCTGTGTGAAATGAATATGCTAAAAATTCTAAATGAACATGCACTTTATGACTGCTGTTTTATGATTTATGTTTTTGCTTTAAAAACTGACGACCCATTAAAAAACAGCTCATAATAACATGATTTTTGAATAAAAGTGGCTGCTGACACATATATACAAGACAAAAAGTCAATATCTAAAGAAACAAGCCGCTAAAAGAAAAAGAAACTGGCTATCCAAATGGTAAGTCTTTTATCTATCACGGTCGGTGTCTTCCATAGG